TCATGGTCCTGACAAAGTGTTGTTATTTTTCGGGTCAATCAGAAATACAATTTGGCTGCCATGGCCGCTATTTTGCTACTAAGTTCTAATAGGCCGATCTCACTTAAAATTGGTCTAGGAATGATCAGCTCATGGTCCTGACAAAGTTAATTTGGTACATATTTCAACAACAAAAATAAATACTATAGACTCAGGTGACCGTTAAGGCCCATGGGCCTCTTGTATATTCTCAACACCAGTATCATTGTTCTTCCTCTGATTCTTATAGAAGATCTGTTTCAAGTTGCGGAGGATGGTGCCATGCTGTGTGTGCAAGCTTGACTTCAATGTGCAGCTTCCTGATGAAGATGAGATACAGGTCAGTGTGAAGGTCAGACCAGATACAGGTCAGTGTGAAGGTCAGACCAGATACAGGTCAGTGTGAAGGTCAGACCAGATACAGGTCAGCGTGAAGGTCAAACCAGATACAGGTCAATGTGAAGGTCAGATCAGATACAGGTCAGTGTGAAGGTCAGTGTGAAGGTCAGACCAGATACAGGTCAGTGTGAAGGTCAGACCAGATACAGGTCAGCGTGAAGGTCAGACCAGATATAGGTCAGTGTGAAGGTCAGACCAGATACAGGTCAGTGTGAAGTTCAGACCAGATAAAGGTCAATGTGAAGGTCAGATCAGATTTAGGTCAGTGTGAAGGTCAGACCAGGTTAATTTAGCCTGACACACAAACAGTCATAGTTCACTCATATTTCAATTCTGGACATTTGCTGAGGTCAGTATATTGTTATAACAACCTGGTAAAATACAATATCTCAGATAGGACGCCTTAGTCTCTCTCCTTGGTAGTCTCTCAGATAGGACGTAACGCCTTAGTGTCTCTCCTTGGTAGTCTCTCACATAGGACGTAACGCCTTAGTCTCTCTCCTTGGTAGTCTCTCTCCTCTGTAGTCTCTCAGATAGGACATAACGCCTTAGTCTCTCTCCTTGGTAGTCTCTCAGATAGGACGTAACGCCTTAGTCTCTTTTCTTGGTAGTCTCTCAGATAGGACGCAAAGCCTTAGTCTCTCTCTTTGGTAGTCTCTCTCCTTGGTAGTCTCTCAGATAGGCGTTACCTTGGTAGTCTCTCTCCTTGGTAGTCTCTCAGATAGGACGTACGCCTTAGTCTCTCTCCTTGGTAGTCTCTCTCCTTGGTAGTCTCTCAGATAGGAAGTAACGCATTAGTCTCTCTCCTTGGTAGTCTCTCAGATAGGACGTAACGCCTTAGTCTCTCTCCTTGGTAGTCTCTCAGATAGGAAGTAACGCATTAGTCTCTATCCTTGGTAGTCTCTCAGATAGGACGTAACGCATTAGTCTCTCTCCTTGGTAGTCTCTCTCCTTGTTAGTCTCTCAGATAGGACGTAAGGCCTTAGTCTCTCTCCTTGGTAATCTCTCTCCTTGGTAGTATCTCAGATAGGATGTAACGCCTTAGTCTCTCTCCTTGGTAGTCTTTCAGATAGGACGTAACTCCGTAGTCTCTCTCCTTGGTAGTCTCTCAGATAGGAAGTAACGCATTAGTCTCTCTCCTTGGTAGCCTCTCAGATAGGACGTAACGCCTTAGTCTCTTTCCTTGGTAGCCTCTCTCCTTGGTAGTCTCTCTCCTTGGTAGTCTATCAGATAGGACGCAAAGCCTTAGTCTCTCTCTTTGGCAGTCTCTCTCCTTGGTAGTCTCTCAGATAGGACGCAAAGCCTTAGTCTCTCTTTGGTAGTCTCCCTCCTTGGTAGTCTCTCAGATAGGACGTACGCCTTAATCTCTCTCCTTGGTAGTCTCTCAGATAGGACGTAACTCCTTAGTCTCTCTCCTTGGTAGTCTCTCTCCTTGGGAGTCTCTCTCCTTGGTAGTCTCTCAGATAGGACGCAAAGCCTTAGTCTCTCTTTGGTAGTCTCCCTCCTTGGTAGTCTCTCAGATAGGACGTAACTCCTTAGTCTCTCTCCTTGGTAGTCTCTCTCCTTGGGAGTCTCTCTCCTTGGTAGTCTCTCAGATAGGACGCAAAGCCTTAGTCTCTCTCTTTGGTAGTCTCTCTCCTTGGTAGAGTTCCTTAGTCTCTCTCCTTGGTAGTCTCTCAGATAGGACGTATCGCCTTAGTCTCTCTCCTTGGTAGTCTCTCTCCTCTGTAGGCTCTCAGATAGGACATAACGCCTTAGTCTCTTTCCTTGGTAGTCTCTCTCCTTGGTAGTCTCTTTACTTGGTAGTCTCTCTCCTTGGTAGTCTCTCTCCTTGGGAGTCTCTCTCCTTGGTAGTCTCTCAGATAGGAAGTAGCGCATTAGTCTCTCTCCTTGGTAGTCTCTCAGATAGGCGTTACCTTGGTAGTCTCTCTCCTTGGTAGTCTCTCTCCTTGTTAGTCTCTCAGATAGGAAGTAACGCATTAGTCTCTATCCTTGGTAGTCTCTCAGATAGGACGTAACGCCTTAGTCTCTTTCCTTGGTAGTCTTTCAGATAGGACGTAACGCCTTAGTCTCTCTTGGTAGTCTCTCAGATAGGACGTACGCCTTAATCTCTCTCCTTGGTAGTCTCTCAGATAGGACGCAAAGCCTTAGTCTCTCTCTTTGGCAGTCTCTCTCCTTGGTAGTCTCTCAGATAGGCGTTCCCTTGGTAGTCTCTCTCCTTGGTAGTCTCTCCGATAGGAAGTAACGCATTAGTCTCTCTCCTTGGTAGCCTCTCAGATAGGACGTAACGCCTTAGTCTCTTTCCTTGGTAGCCTCTCTCCTTGGTAGTCTCTCTCCTTGGTAGTCTCTAAGATAGGACGCAAAGCCTTAGTCTCTCTTTGGTAGTCTCCCTCCTTGGTAGTCTCTCAGATAGGACGTAACTCCTTAGTCTCTCTCCTTGGTAGTCTCTCTCCTTGGTAGTCTCTCTCCGTGGTAGTCTCTCTCCTTGGTAGTCTCTCTCCTTGGTAGTCTCTTTACTTGGTAGTCTCTCTCCTTGGTAGTCTCTCTCCGTGGTAGTCTCTCTCCTTGGTAGTCTCTCTCCTTGGGAGTCTCTCTCCTTGGTAGTCTCTCAGATAGGCGTTACCTTGGTAGTCTCTCTCCTTGGTAGTCTCTCTCCGTGGTAGTCTCTCTCCTTGGTAGTCTCTCAGATAGGACGTAACGCATTAGTCTCTCTCCTTGGTAGTCTCTCAGATAGGACGCAAAGCCTTAGTCTCTCTCTTTGGTAGTCTCTCTCCTTGGTAGTCTCTCAGATAGGACTTAACACTTTTATAGGTCTTGTGTTCCAATGCTCGCAAAAATAATAAAACATTAGAAATTGAAAGACTTGGGGTAAAAGAGGACATTTTGAGTTGCCTTGTGAGATCAGTGATACGAATGATTGGTTGATCAGGTACAGTCATATAGTCATTTACATCCAACCTCTTCAATGTCTGGCCTGTTTTCACATTGTGGTTTGGCCCCAAATGACTCAAATCATCAACGGGCAGTAAGCAATACAAAAACAAAAGAAATCCATTAATCATCATAATTCCCAGAAGTTGTGTATTTCCACACGCTGTAAATATTGAATTTTGATCAAGGAAAATGTGTTAGCACAGGAATCAGTTGTCTTTTTGATAAATTGTTGTTGCATTCTTTTTTAAATCAACTTTTTTATGAACTGGAAAATATATACAATTTGTTTTGTCCAGTTACTATAGTTAAGTGAAAGTGTGCAATGTCTGTTTAACTGGCCCCAGTCACTAGTTAGTCTCAGTGTGTGTCAGTATAATGATATACCACCACAACTCACAAAAATCAGTAGTAATTAAGTATCACTCAGATATAATATGTAATCCAGTACATAACAGTAACAGGAGATGTATTTTCCAATTACTGGGTTGTGATTTTATGTTTTGCTATATTTACCGGTATTTCTCCATGAATTAATATAATTCAGTACATTACATTGAGAGTTAAGATATTCTACACTTGGATTTTCCTAGGTGGCTTACACTGTATCCTTCGAGAGTTTTGATTGATGTTGTACTGACATTACTGTCCTCGTGTTCCTTTAGATCACACTGACGGGCGTCTGTGTTGGACTTACAGACCAGCACCTGTTCACATCTTCCCTCTCAGACATCCATGCATCTGGCACAAAAGGAAATCTCCTGAAAACAGGTAAAATAATCTACTTAAAGTGTTCCTGAAAACTTCCAGAAAACAACTATCTTAGGTAAAGGAAATTCAAATTTCATCAGTGAAAATGGTACTGCTTTGACGAGCCTCATCAATGAGCTGCAAAGAGAAACTGGAAAAGGGAAAAACAGAAGAGATTTGAATAGGCTACTTTGAAAAATTTGACAAAATGTGAATTTATGTTGAAGCATCTCCATACACATTTTCGTTTCCAAATGTTTTTGGTTATAGCCAGTTTGTGTTTTAAATATGTTCATTTAAACTAAGTGCAGTTAGGTGCCCCTTGTTTTAGTCTTGCTAGAGGGTTGACCATTCATAAAAGGAAAGTATATAATATTGATATTTTTTCACCAATATAAAACAAAATATTGGTGTCCTAGGAATAAATTTGAATCAACTAGAACGTTTAAATGCATTACTACCTCTATTCATGCCGGTTAAACAAGGGACTGCACACAATGGTACAGGGATAGTGGTTCTTCCTGTTCTTTTTTAAGAAAGAAATATTCAGTTTGAATCTAAAATATTCTGTTTGAATCTAAGTTGATGATTTGAGATGTTCATTACAGCACCAGGTGCGGGGGACAGTAGTGGGGGTGGAGAAGCTCAACCAGATGACATGATGTTCCAAATGGAGGAGTTGTCAGAATCCTCACCCAACCTACACAACTATCTCAAAGGTCAGTGTAAGTTCATCAGCACTAGGTCATATGTTAATATACTGAGGTCCGAGGGTAATAAAACTTGGTTAAAGTGTAATTACATCAGCACTAGGTCATATGTTAATATACTGAGGTCAGAGGGCAATAACACTAGGTTAAAGTGTAATTACATCAGTACCAGATCACATGTTAATATACTGAGGTCAGAGGGTAATAAAACTAGGTTAAAGTGTAATTACATCAGCACTAGGTCATATGTAAATATACTGAGGTCAGAGGGTAAAAAAACTGGGTTAAAGTGTTATTACATCAGCACTGGGTCATATGTTAATATACTGAGGTCAGAGGGCAATAAAACTAGGTTAAAGTGTAATTACATCAGTACCAGATCACATGTTAATATACTGAGGTCAGAGGGTAATAAAACCAGGTTAAAGTGTAATTACATCAGCACTAGGTCATATATTAATATACTGAGGTCAGAGAGTAATAAAACTAGGTTAAAGTGTAATTACATCAGCACTAGGTTATATGTTAATATACTGAGGTCAGAGGGTAATAAAACTAGGTTAAAGTGTAATTACATCAGTACCAGATCACATGTTAATATACTGAGGTCAGAGGGTAATAAAACTAGGTTAAAGTTTATTATAGAGATCAAGTGTTCAGTGTATTGAATTAGAGGTTAGAATACAATAGTAAGAAAGATATCAGTATGAATGTAGATGTCAGTATATGCTCTAAATAGATTTCTTAAATCATGTGGTCAAGCATGAAAGAATTCAGTCATGTGCTTAGTACTCAAAATTGTTTTGTCACTCTAGTATAAGCTTCTGACTCTGAATTTAACAAAGTAGCTGGATTATAAATCGGCTGGGTGATATATTTTCCCATTTCATACAATGTAGCAGGTATTAGGATGATGGATCGCTTTAGATGAGATATCACAGATCAAAGTCACCCTTGTTATAAAGAGTAAGTTCAGAAGCTATTAAGACATCATGATTAGAAGGAAGTTGCCCTCTACCTTTGTTCTGGCCAGTAACTGAAGACATTTGTTTCCTAACTGTACAGTGCCAGTACCAAGACCCTTATTCCAAAGTCAGGGTCAAGGTCACAGTTTTGTTAATTGATCAAGAGGTTTTAAATCACAGGAGAGCTAGGGAGACATATTTTTTTATTACATTTTGTGAATTTTGTGTTCATTTTGTTGTATACAATACTGTTACCTGTTTATTTTGTGTTCCCAGCATCCCGGACTTCCAAAGACAACATCCAAATCAGCGGTTCAAGGCGCTGCATTCACCCGGTAAGTTTACAGCTGGCCAACAGCACAAAAAATTACAAAAGTGCATAGTTGGCACAAAGTATTTAGATAAGTGTTCACGTACAACATGTCATAACATATGATACACAGAAGTAATAATTTCTTGTCATCTCGAATCTGGCTGCAAAGATGAGAAAAGGAAGTCAAGTGGTCACTACCCTAATCCTTAGGTGATCAGACTGTCACTTAACAGGACCACAAGACCGATTTTACAGATAACAACCCTACTTTTGTATTGTTTCTTTTAGTACATTCCTAAACATAAGGTCGGCATAGAGATCACTCCGCTGGCATACGTTCCTGGTGGCAAGATTGAACGTTACCTTGGCAACTACAATTTCTTCTTCATTCGAGAGACGACATCTCTTCGAGAAGTAAGTATCAAGAGATATAACACCCTAATAAATGTTTGCATTCAAGCAATGTCCCTACAAGAATTTATCAGAAGCAGATATTTAAATTCTGTTTGACTGTTAAAGGAATAACATTTACATACATGATATCGCAATTTCAATATTTTAAAGATTTGGCAATACAATGTACCTCTATTTGGATCACTAGTATAGAATAGAGTATACATACATACTGAAAATAAAAATGTACCTCTTTTTAAACATTCATGCTAGTATGAATGCAAAACAATCACATTCATTTTGCATGAAGCCATTCAGTCCAATGTGTTTTTATTATTTTTAAGCAGTAATGTGATTCAGACTTTTGTTTGAAAAATACCAGTTCTGTGTTTCTCGAAAAAAAACTTACCTAAAATGCTCTCAGCCTAATTTTCAAAGACAACAATAATAGGTGCTTTAATGTCATATGATGGTAGCGTGTTGACAATTTGTTACAATAACCTCTTTATGTTACAGATGGGCGGTGATGGAGGCTTCATGCAGACATTCATTGCCGAGGTCTTAGCCAATGTGCGTGCCAGTGTGGCCGCCCTGGGTGGGAATGGTCTGGTGGCTTACAGGATGAGTCAGTGTGTCCTCCTCAGTAATCCACAGAAAAACCAGGTATGATAATCAGTTCAGTATATAGTGGTAATCCTTTAAAGCAATACTGTGAATATACTCAATCTCAATGTCAAGTACAGAACTATATATGTACTATAGAATGCACTGAAGGGTTACTGACGTCCAATACAAACGGTTTTCAGTATTATTCAGTAGCGACTCAGTCATTGCTACACCTATATTTAGAAACAAGGGTGACTACACAGAGTTTGTTGTAATCTATTCCTGAAATGTGTTGATTATCAAATTGTGCAAGTATAAGCATATAAGGGAGTCCTGATGAACTATCCTGTCCTATATTTTATTGTGTTTTAGCAATAGATTAGATTTATTATAATACATTTGTATGATGAGATACAAAGATAATATTTTTCCTAACTTAAATGTACACTGTGTTTTCTTGTTCAGGAAATGAAAAGTTCTTAATAGATATTTTTAGCTCACCTGGCCCGAAGGGCCAAGTGAGCTTATCCCATGGTGCAGCGTCCGGCGTCCGGCGTCCGGCGTCCGTTAACTTTTTCCTTTAAAATGCTACTTGTCCTGAATGGCTCAGAGGATTTTGACCAAATTTGGTCAGGAGCATCATTGGCCAAAGGGTTCTCAGTTTTGTATAAACGGAGGGTATAACCCCCCTGGGGGCAGAGGGGCGGGGGCAAATAGGGGGAAAATAGAAGGATTTTGACCAAATTTGTCCTAGAGCATCTTTGGACAAAGGAGACTCAAGTTTGTATAAACGGAGGGTGTGGCCTCTTTGGGGGCAGAGGGGCGGGGCCAAATAGGGGAAGTAGAGGATTTTTTCTCTCCTACTATACAAGTGAAGGGATTTAAACCAAATGCAGTCTGAAGCTTGGTCAGGATCATCATTGGCCAAAGGGTTCTCAGTTTTGTATGAACGGAGGGTATGGTCCCCCTGGGGGCAGAGGGACGGGGCCAAATAGGGGAAAATAGGTAAATCTTTAAAAATCTTCTCCTCAACCAATTGAAGGATTTTGACCAAATTTGTCCTAGAGCATCTTTGGACAAAGGAGACTCAAGTTTGTATAAACGGAGGGTGTGGCCTCTTTGGGGGCAGAGGGGCGGGGCCAAATAGGGGAAGTAGAGGATTTTTTCTCTCCTACTATACAAGTGAAGGGATTTAAACCAAATGCAGTCTGAAGCTTGGTCAGGATCATCATTGGCCAAAGGGTTCTCAGTTTTGTATAAACGGAGGGTATAACCCCCCTGGGGGCAGAGGGGCGGGGCCAAATAGGGGGAAAATAGAAGGATTTTGACCAAATTTGTCCTAGAGCATCTTTGGACAAAGAAGACTCAAGTTTGTATAAACGGAGGGTGTGGCCCCTCTGGGGGCGGAGGGGCGGGGCCCAATAGGGGAAATAGAGGATTTTTTTTCTCCTACTATACAAGTGAAGGGATATAAACCAAATGCAGTCTGAAGCATGCTTAGGGAGAAAAGAATCAATTTTGTTTAAACTGAGGTGTGTGGATTCCCCTTCTTTGGGGCAGATTAGTGGGGCCCATTAGGGGAAATAGAGGAAAACATTAAAGATCCTTCTCCTTCTGTACCGTTGAAGGGATTTTAACCTAACCAAACTTGTTTTAGAGAATCTTTGGGCAAAGGGAATTGAATATTTATAAATGGAAGATGCAACTTTGTTACTTGTACTCCTTTGATAAACCTGAATGGTACTCAGCAGGTTTTAAATTGAAAAATAAAATACCAGGTGAGCTATTAAGGCCCCTGGGCCTCTTGTTATAATAGTGTTACAGGCTAAGATCGGAATTGAAGTTAAGAGTATTTGAAATTATTTTAAGTCAGTGATATTTGGGAAAATGCTATTCAATAAAAAATTGCAGAATTAAAGGAGTTATAATGCTATTTTTTTGTTTCTTTTTTCAGAGCCAGTGTTTGATCAATGTGTACGGTGATGCTGTGTGTATCTGTTACGATGGGGAACCTAGCTGTGGTTCTGCACTGATAGAACATACAGGGAAAACCATGGACTCTCCTGTAATCATACACACATAATGCAGAATAACAGACTTAGCCAAACACACATACTACGGGGCCACTGACTTAGTCATACCTAATACAAAATAACAGACTAAGTCATACACACATAATACAAATACATGAACTCTCATGCGTAATACAAGATACATTACCAAAGGCAAAACTATTAACTATTTATTGTGTAAAATTGTGCATATCAATGTCTCGTGGATTTCATTGATATAATTACCGGTAAGATGTATGGTATGTAAGGAATGACCAAGATTCTTTTTCTGGTTATGCCATATAATGTTATTGTGATTAATTCTTTTTTTTTTACCTAAAAGCAATGCTGCACATATTTCTTATTACAGTTGAAATTAAACTACTGTCTTATAAATATAACTGTGGTAACGTAAGATTTACACCTTTGACTAAGCCTAAAGTCTCAAAAGGTTAAAGTTACAATATAATTCTGTGATGTGTTCTCTGCACTGTGTATTACAATGATACTCATACATTATATTTCATTTGTGTAACATCTATTAACTACTGCCATTAAGTAAGAATTTTGATAGTACATGTATGTCAACGTTATTAAACGTATAACAGTGTTTTCTTATTATTAAATTAATGATATTAAAGGTATTACATGGGTTGTCTCCCCTGTCTATTACATGGGTTTTCTCCCTTGTCTATTACATGGGTTGTCTCCCCTGTCTATTACATGGGTTGTCTCCCCTGTCAATTACATGGGTTGTCTCCCCTGTCTATTACACGGGTTGTCTCCCCTGTCTATTACATGGGTTGTCTCCCCTGTCTATTACATGGGTTGTGCCCCCTGTCAATTACATGGGTTGTCTCCCCTGTCAATTACATGGGTTGTCTCCCCTGTCTATTACATGGGTTGTCTCCCCTGTCAAGACAGGGTTTAGGTTTTACATATCTGTCTGTGGTAACTACCTTTTCCTTATTATAAGAAAAATACAAACAAAGTATGATATGGTTTATATCACTTGTAATATATATCAGAGTTGAATGTCATACATCTCACTGATGATAACTTGTCGACAGAACAATTCATTGTTTTGAAAGTTTGTCTGAATATAGAATAATGGAACTTGTGATTACATTTCGTATGAATTTCTCACACAATGAATGTGTTTTATATTAAGCAAAATTATATATTGCTGAAGTTAAGTCAGTCTTTCTGCTGCCTTAGAAACAGCCAAAAATAAACCTTACAAATTAGTTGTATTTCTGATAGAGAGTTTTGACAATTGACAGTATAAAAATGTTCAACTCAAGACATATTCGTTTCAGCTTGAAAGTTTGTTACCACAAAAATAAATGCTGTGCAGTAGGACAATGTTAAAGTGAATACTTTGCAAGCCTAGTGGCCTATAGCTTAACACAGGAACTATGATGTGAAGGTTCAGTGTTTTTACGTAGCATGCAGATACATGTACTCATTTGCACACTGTGTCAGATTGGAACAATCGGGGTACAGTCTTGTTGAAGAACACAGCAACAATTTAAACTGCTGCCAACACTTTTTAAACCTAGGAGGTTTCTACCTGCTGGTTGATGAACAAAAACTGTGCTGTGCTGGTTATGTAGAAAGAGAGGAAAAAATGTTTCTTTAAGCTATGGGTGAGATTTCCACGAAGGTGGAAGAAATTGTTTTTCTTTGATTTTATCCTGCATAATGTATGCATAACTTCTATCATATTTGTTCAGTTCATGTATAATATCTATACTCAGTTTGACAAAGACAAGATAATTAAAACAGAATATGTCGGGTTACATTCTTATTGTCGAGGTATGGGAACCTCATTCCTGAAAATTTCTGTTTTTACAGTGCATAGTGATTTGGTCAACCGAATCCAAGTACAAATGCATCAAGTCTGAAACCTCAAAAAGCCTAAAGGTATCTGTTGGAAGAAACATAGACTGATTTGTGTTTGCCAAGACTATAATTGTGTATATTAATATGGACAATGATTTAATTGTTTTGACTTGTTGAGTCGGAAGCCTGAAGATATCTGTATGGAGAACCTAGATTAGGTTGTATTTGTCAAGATTATCAGTATTGTATGCTAATTGACTATGTTTTAAAATGTTCCGACTCCATGAGTTCAGTTTAAGAGGCTCCAGAATTGAAATATAAGATATGTTTACATGAAATGTGTTAGATTGAAATGATGATTAATCTACAAATTGAGGTATCACATTTTGCTGTTCTTGCTCAAAGCTATGATTTCTGACACATCAGATAAAAATCATTTCCGATGTTGGTATGACCATTTAAATCTTCCTTTGCAATTATTTAATTTGAGTTATCTGTGAATCGTAATTGTTTTGAGAGAGTAAAATATAATGATCAATGTATTTGTTCTGGTTTACCTTTCAAATGTGACATCTATTAACCTACAAATGTAGTCCAGTGTCACAACAAAGTTGCACACGTTATGTCCATTGAAGTATAGAAGGAAAGATTGTAGATGGCTTTAATGTTTCCAGTTGCTGGTCCAATGTGTATTAAACATCTTCATGATTTCCTGGATGCTTAACATAGATGGAGGTTAAAGTCAGCTTTGAGAATCCTAACAAATGTGTGATGTATTTCTAGTCGGATTCCACATGTGCTAGAAACAATTGGCCTCTCCCCTCAAATATATATATAAAAAAAAAAAAAAAAAGATTGTATGCCTGTCCGATGTTTTGATGCGACACATTATAGTGATGGGAACGTCTGTTCATCCGTCCGTCCACACTTTGGTTTCCGATTAAAACCAGCTGGTAACATGCTTATATATATTATTGTGGGGAAGGTGTCAATTGTGTCTAATGCTATTCCTATGTAATGACTATAAGTGCTATACTGTTTTAATAAGTGCTTTAATGTTAAACATTTTCTACATTTCTATGTTGTTATTGTTAAGTATTTGTATGTTATATTTCTGTGTACATCACTGATGTTCAACATATTATGATATTGTATTTTATAGGTGCAAAAATTTAGTTAATTGGGATTTATTTTAACAAGACAAATTTTTTTTATTGTAGATTAAATTAATGAATGAATTATGATCCCTACAATAAAGGATTGAATAAAAGAGAAATTTGACTCCCGCCAACAACATCGCATACCCAGAAGCCAAGCTGCTAAATCAATATAGATATTCTTCTTTATTTTATACTCCATACTGCTAAATCAATATAGGTATTCTTCTGTGTTCTATACTACATACTGCAGAGCAGTGACCAGATTTGCCTGTCTGTCTGTCCAGTATTTACATGGTTTTTTTCAATAAATTAGAACAGTTGACACATTTTTACCAAAATTAAATCATAGCTGCCACACATATAACTCTCCGAGACTCCTAGATTTATTTTTGGAGGGTGGAGGGGTGGTGGGCCAAAGTAAAGGTCAATGAGTCACATAGTTTCATTCATCAAAAATGTCCATTCCCTTTAAAATTGTGTTCCACTTGTGATATATTGTACAGTAGTTAATACATAGTTGTGATGTGATGATTTTACTGTGGTGACTGATGAGCAGACAATACGATGATCTCTGTCACCCTCTTTATGTAGTTAGGAAATATTACACTGGTTTACGATGGTTTACGATTTGCAATTGGTTACTGAAAAATTAAAAAAATGAACTACTATTACGCTTTTCTTTTGTTTTTATCTTGATAGATGCTGTGTAAATGTCTGGATTTATCCGTCAGTTTTAACGTTGCTTCTTCAAATGGTATCTGATTGCATTATACATGACCATCTTTTGTACTACAACCCTCTTCCTCTCATTAACTTTCTCATTGTTAATATGAGTTGATATTTTCTTGCCATCACTCTGACTTTATTTCTTGGCCAACTGTCAAAAAGGTTCACATTGGGGTCCACACACTTCAAATCCTGAGGGGATTCGTATGGTCTATTATGCCATTTAAACATGTTCATAACTTCACCTTTTGTACTAATACACATTTTGACCTTCTATATAAAATTGAGGTAAATGGTACTGTAAGTTTGATGTCATTGCACTGTAGACTTCATTTCTTATCCAGTTGTCGTGAAACTTAAAATTCATGTTCACAAACATTACGAAGTTGGGGGAGGGGTATCGCCCTGTCTGTCCGTCCGTTCGTTTGTCTGTTCATGATCCTTGAAAGCCCAACTACTCCTACACCGTGGAATGGATATTTTTTAACTTGTCACATTGAAAGTACATCAAATGTATTAGTGAATGAAGAAAGGATTTGCAATTCAACTATTTTACCTAAATTATGGCCCTGGAAACCTAACATATTCGCTCCAGAATCTCCTCCTTTGGTTGATTTTTTTTTTGTAACTTGGCACAGTGAAAGTACATCATACCGGTATGTAGATGTTCTTGAAGAAAAGAATTTGTGATTTGACTATTTTTCCTGGAGTTATGGCCCTTGCAACTTTAATTTCTGCTCCATGCAAGTGGGGGTATATCTTTGTGAGCTCAATTAGTTTCTCTAGCTAAAAATTATTTGATAATTTTATAATTTGCTGTTATCACATTACAGACTTAAAATTTCTTATCCCATTGTCATTAACACTGTAGACCGAAATTGACTCTTCCAGACCAATTTGTGGTAGAGGTTATTAAAGTCATATAGGGGTGAAAGGGTTAACTTACACTTCTAGTTCATATGTTTACAAACATTTCATCTTTTTGGGTTTTAGAACCACTTAACTGACTTTTCTTTCATTTGAAGGTTCAAACCGATGTTCACAAACACTTAAACTGTGAAAGTATTCCTATCATCTGCTTCTAAATTAACAATTGTGACCTCATATCATCTGTGGTGTCTTGTTCTAAATTAACAACTGTGACCTCATATCATCTGTTGTGTCTTGTTCTAAATTAACAACTTTGACCTCTAGTTGAGTGAAATATTCTTGACATGTTTGAGAACATAACTTGCAATGGTGTTAAGATATCAAAATCAGATAAGGTGCAATAAATAGTTATCACTGACTCTGGAGTTCTAAAAACAAAACCACACAGTAGGAAAAGTTTTATAGTTTTATACAGGTTAAACCATGATCTTTATGTAGATACAGTTAAAACAGAATTTTTGTTTAAGTTCAACAATACTGACCAGCAACATTGTGCATAATTCATGATAAAACAGCTATGGTAACCTTCCATTATACATGAAATAAACTTAAGAGCTATTCCAGAAATAAATAGAGAGGGTGTGTTTTTTGTGACCCCACTATCCAAAAGTGTTTTTCTGTGGCATTTCATAAAAATGTTAACAATTATAATAAACCCAACAAGCCATACACTGTCAATTTTAACTACCTCCCCCCTCCACCCCCATACATTTACATCTGAAATAGCCCCTTATGTAACATTTCAAGGTAATCAAGGATCCACTGTATAACGTATCCCTGATCCATAGAACAAATTTAACAGTATTACCAAACATCATTCACATACTGATTTCTTCATGATTGTAATAAATTTCTACCCATAATAAAAATGTGTAACCTTGTGCCTTATCAAGATTTTGAAAGATGTGAATTTCATTACAAATATCATTCAGTTCATGAAAAAGCCAGGCTTCAAGTCATGTCTCACTGTTTTGCAGGCCACACAAAAAAAATGCTTTTTCCAGACTTGCTGACCATGCTGGTATTCTTTTTACTTTAAGACCTATCTCGTTTCCTTGGAGGCCAGACAGAGCTGTCGTTTCCTGGCTGGTCGACCATACTCTGCCTCTGGTGTGTCCAGGACCAGTATTTTTGAGCCCGGTGCCCTACCATCTTTAGGGGTAGAGCATATAGTATTTTCAAAATATTTCCGCAATAAATATCTTGATTTTGGTGCCATGTCTTCAAGGTCACTCTCGCTGACATTATCACAGACTGGGCTTTGTATAAAGTCATCTATAGGAGAACTTTTGGATTGGATATACCCAGAAATGTGCCCATCTACTTCACTTCTGCCTGGAAATAACCGCTTCACTGGAGTCTGTAAGCTTGTTTCGTTTTGTTTATTACCTGTTGGTGTGCACACATCAATAGGACATCCAGGGCCAGGTGAGGGAGAACACACCGTAGTTAGGGGTCCTATAGAGTTATCTCCTCTAACTAAATCACCAGGTCTATCAACACTTCTCGTACTAAGCCTTTGATTTTTATGTCTAACTTTACGTTTCAAAACTGGGGAGTTTTCACAATCATCATCAATCCAAGTTGTATGGGACTGTTTTCTGAGTTTTCTCTGATGTTTAGCAACATTAGGAGAGACATTTTCCTCAATGCTGACTTCCTCTAGAACTGAAATACTGGTAAGTACTCTGTTATTCCCAACAAACTCCAGAGATTTATATTTGCTTCCAGCATCACCTTGACCTTTAACCTGGTCATGACCTGTTGTCTCACATGTACATTTGGGTTTGTGTCCTTCATGATGCACAGGAGATTTTCGTCGCCTCAAAGTCCTACGGCTTTGCCGTCCCCCTGATCGTGCATTACTGCTAAACTGAGGTGACACCTAGTAGAGATGAGAAAAGTTGGATAAAAGTTCCAGTAATTTATGTTTTCATTTCTACAAGTCCCTTCATAATTTATAAACACAACCTGAAGACGTTGCATGCATAGGGTTATGAATGCAACATGATCAGTGTAATTTTAACATTGTTCCAAATGCCTCAAGTAACATGAAACCATAATATAGGAAACAAACATTTATATATAATAAGGTGTCATCAGGCTGTTCCAACATTTATATATATATAATAAGGTGTCATTAGGCTGTTCCAACATTTATATATAATTAAGTGTCATCGGGCTGTTCCAACATTTATATATAATAAAGTTTCATTAGGCTGTTCTAACATTTATATATAATAAGGTGTCATTAGGCTGTTCCTACATTTATATATAATAAGGTGTCATCAGACTGTTCCAACATTTATATATATATAATAAGGTGTCATTAGACTGTTCCAACATTTATATATAATTAAGTGTCATCGGGCTGTTCCAACATTTATATATAATTAAGTGACATAAGGCTGCTCCAACATTTATATATAATAAGGTGTAATCAGGCTGTTCCAACATTTATATATATATAATAAGGTGTCATTAGGCTGTTCCTACATTTATATATAATAAGGTGTCATCAGACTGTTCCAACATTTATATATAATAAGGCGTCATCAGGCTGTTCCAACATTTATATACAATAAGGTGTAATCAGGCTGTTCCAACATTTATATACAATAAAGTGTCATTAGGCTGTTCTAACATTTATATATAATAAGGTGTCATCAGACTGTTCCAACATTTATATATATATAATAAGGTGTCATTAGTCTGTTCCAACATTTATATATAATAAGGTGTCATTAGGCTGTTCCTACATTTATATATAATAAGGTGTCATCAGACTGTTCCAACATTTATATATATATAATAAGGTGTCATTAGACTGTTCCAACATTTATATATAATAAGGCGTCATCAGGCTGTTCCAACATTTATATATATATAATAAGGTGTCATTAGTCTGTTCCAACATTTATATATAATAAGGAGTCATTAGGCTGTTCCAATATTTATATATAATAAGGTGTCATCAGACTGTTCCAACATTTATATATATATAATAAGGTGTCATCAGGCTGTCCCAACATTTATATATAATAAGGTGTAATCAGGCTGTTCCAACATTTATATACAATAAGGTGTAATCAGGCTGTTCCAACATTTATATACAATAAAGTGTCATTAGGCTGTTCTAACATTTATATATAATAAGGTGTCATAAGCCTGTTCCAACATTTATATATAATAAGGAGTCATCAGGCTGTCCCAACATTTATATATAATAAGGTGTAATCAGGCTGTTCCAACATTTATATACAATAAGGTGTAATCAGGCTGTTCCAACATTTATATACAATAAGGTGTAATCAGGCTGTTCCAACATTTATATACAATAAGGTGTAATCAGGCTGTTCCAACATTTATATATATATAATAAGGTGTCATCAGGCTGTTCCAACATTTATATATAATAAGGTGTAATCAGGCTGTTCCAACATATATATATTATAAGGTGTCATCAGGCTGTTCCAGTACTATTGTTTGCATTAACAGCACAGACAGTGAGACACTTCAATGCCAAAAATATCACGGAAATATTAGATAAATAAATATCAACATTTATACTGTACAGAGATATTAAATAGAATTTTGAAAATATTTATACCAGTATTTAAAAGAGGTTTTGTGATGACACTGTTTGTACATGTAGATTAAGATAAATTCAAGGATACCCTAGCTATAGAAATTCCATGAAAGACATGTCTAATTCCTTTGCAATTATAAATATTATGCTTGAGACCCAACATACATCGATAAAATTTGTGATAGATGTTTTGTTTCAGGAGACACAAATATAGCTTAATCAGAAGAATGGCTATAAAGAGCGATAGAGTTTCATGTTCAGGAGACACGTGAACAAATTTGCTTCATCAGTAGTAAGTGTGTAAGAGTGATAGAGCCTCATGTTCTTAGCTTCGTCAGTAGTAAGTGTGTAAGAGTGATAGAGCCTCATGTTCTTAGCTTCGTCAGTAGTAAGTCTGTTACAGTGATAGAGCCTCATGTTCTT